AAGGATGGCTGGAATTGGAATATTTTTCAAGGCTGAAAGGAAAGCATTGCCAACCCAGAATTCTATATCTAGTGAAAATGCTCTTCAGGAACAGATGTGAAATAATGACATCCTAAGGTAAAGAACAAGTAGGCAAAGATATTTTAAAGTTCATATGGAAGAGCAGCCAAGGCACTTGGGAAAAAGCAGAGCGCGGAGAGGTGTGCCTTACCAGATAATGAACCTCACCATGACATTACGAGAATACAAATAATTTGGTCTTGGCTCCGCCATAGACAATTAAGAGAGTAAAACTGAAGAGAGGCCCAAAACAGAACCACACAGGAAATTTGTCCGAAGGAAATAAAGTTAGGGCCTTTATCCATAGCAAAAGAAAAATCAATTCTGGATAAAATAAAATTTGAATATTAAAAGATAAAACGAAAACATTAGAAGGAAGTTTAAAAGAATATTTGTGTGATGTCTGTAATGAGGACACGCCACATACACGAAACCCTGAGAAAAGAACCCAGAAACTGTAAAAGAGAAAAAGAACAGATTTGACTACATAAGAAGTTCTTAAATTCTCTACATGGCAAAAGACACCAAAAATTTAAGGCAAATGAGAAGTGAAGATATTGCAGGAAAATACTTGCAACATATAATAAAGTAACCATGAAAATGCAGATCAAATGAAAACAAGGAAATATCCTATTTCTCCCATCCAGTGAATAAAAACGTTAAGGATTGCTAACATCCTGTGCTGGTAAGAAGGTGGCAAAAGGGCACACTGATGAAATGCTTCTGTGGATGGGCGTGACTACAATCTTCTGAGGAAATCAATCTAGCAATATCCAACAAAATTCTAAATTTGAATACCCTCTGACCAGCAATTCCACCTCGGGGAATTTATGCTCAAAAAAAAAAAAAAAAAAAAAATCAAAACAAAAAAAAAGTCCTGGCATCTAAGATTAGATAAGCAGCAATATTTGTAAAGGCAGAGAACTGATAAAATCAGAATATTCCCAACAGGAGAATAACTGAATAAATTATAAAAATTCATACTATGGACTCTAATGTAGTCATTACAAATAATGGGAATCATAAATAATGGGTTATGGCTGGGAATATTTATTAGATACTAAACTTAAAAAGTCACAGAGCATGGGATGTGGCATAATCTTTTTGTAAATTTTTTAAAAAGAAACATATTCCACACATATGCATAAATTCTAATGTTTTTGTGATTGTAAAGGAAAGCATAAAAGGATCCCGTTACCCAACACTGGTAATACAGGCTCCCTGTTGGCCCAGAATTGGGATAGAAGGAGGCATTGTTATCATTTTTCCTTTGTTACACTTCTATGTTTCAGTTATTGCAAAAAGTATATATTGCTTTCAAAGTATGAAAAAAAAATTCAACAGCATTGCTTTCACAGAAAAACAAAATACATATACATACATACATAACAGCCACACAGTTGGCTCCCAATGACTCCATCCTTATCAATGTACATCACTGATAAAGTAGAGAATTCACAATGTGAATTAGTCTCTGATGTCCTGGGCCTTACAAACTTTTCAAAGAAACATAATGAAGCTGCTCTGCTGAAGGACAGCTATTCAAGACCTAGCTCCATGAGTCTCCTACACTGTTCGCGCAGATCATCATCTCTCAAAATGGGCCAGGCATTCATCCACAGAGGGAGATGACCCACCTCCCAACACCCAGCTGGGTGGCAAGGACCTGGGGCAGGAACACCGTTTGAAGGCGGTCCGCAGATGGCTGAAATAGCAACATCTGCTCCCTCTTGCCAGACCTGCTGCCCACCCCACCCCCAACTGTCTCCAACTTTGCCAAGATACTTCCCTGAACCTCACATAGCCTTTCTGAATGCAAAGCCTCTCCAAATTTTTCTGGAATCTTCACCTTTGCAGGCATCGACGCAGTGAAGTGTACACATTAATCTCATATATCCACTTATATATCTTATATATCCACTTGATTGGACTAGAGGGTGCCCAGATAGCTGTTAAAACATGGTTTCTGGGGGTGTCTGGGGTGGTTTCTCCGGAAGAGATTAGCATTTGAATCAGTAAGCTGAGTAAAGAAGACTGCCCTCACCAAGGAGGGCTTGCATCACCCAATCCTTTGAGGGCCTGAATAAAATAAGAGGGCAAGGAGGAAGGGTGAATTCACACCCTCTCACTGAGCTGGGACATCTGTCTTCTCCTGCCTCTAGATACCAGGACTCCTGGTTCTCAGACTTTCAGACTCCCACCAAGAATTACACCACTGGCCCCCTGGTTCCTGGCCTTTTGCCTTCAGACTGAATCACACCACCAATTTCCTTGGTCTTCCAGCTCACAGATGGCAAGATCATGGGATTTCTCGGCTTCCACATCGGCCTGTTCCTCGAGGGAATGAGGACTGGATGAATGAGCAAGCTACTGGTTCTTTCTCTGGAAAACCCTAAATACAGCAGGTTAGTTACTCCCTCTCCATCTCAGTGTATCCTGCAGAAGCAGCCAAGACATCTTAGGGCTTAGGCCCAGCCCTGAGACTGCCTCTGTCGTCAGGACTCTGTTGGCTAAGGCAAGTCGTTGGAAACCCCGTCCAAATTCAAGTGGAGGTATCTGCACAAGAGTGTGAACACCAATGACCACAGATGAAATGTGCTATCACACCACATCAAACACTCAGCTTAATGTCTGGCACACAGTCCGTGCTCAAAAAATGTGAGCTCTTTTTTGTATATATTATTTTCTCTTAAATAGAGGCAAGTCATTTTTACAGGGATTCTTCACCATGTACAAACCACAGAGAAGGCATGGAAATCTAGAGATTGCTACAGAGCCCTCACATTTCATTCCAGAAGATGCAGAGGAGCTAGAGTGCTACCCCACAGGGCAGACTTCAGAATAAAGCCAGACACCCTAGTCACTATCCTTAAATGAAAAATATCCTTGCAGGGCAGTTTCCGGGGCCTCAAAGGACAGGCATATATAGGGTAAGGGGCCAGTGTTACTACTCACAGCCAGGCTAACATGAACACCTGTCCCAACTGGAAACAGCCACTATTTCTGACAACAGCAGAGACAAGATGTGAAATTTGGCATATACCGTATTAAGAGAACTTTAAAGGTGCTTGTGGCAGATTAAGTTTGAAGAAAGAAAACAAGGCAGTGAGAAAGTGGATGTAAAGAGGTAGAGTAGGAGATAGAGAAGTTACCTTAAAATCTAAAAAACGTAAGCAGAGCTTGTTGTGTTCATTGCTGTCCCCGGAGCGTAGATGAATGCCCGCACAGAGCAGACATCTGCAGATTTACTCTGAATGGGGGAAAGTTAAAATGAATAGGTTATACCTGTCGAAAGGAATAACACTGGAAACGCAGAATTATTGTTTTACAATTTACCCCTTCAAACTAAAATGGAGTGAATGCACACTTTTCACATAAGTTTTTCTACCATGTCCAGGTCATGTTTTCCCTTTTAGGTTTATTATTAAAAGGCAGCTGTTTTTCAATGCCCTCTGGGAGTACCAAAATCATAGCTAAGTCTAAATGGGACAAAGGGAGGCTCAGGGAGGAGCCAGGAAGCTAAGCTAATTTAGCAGTCTGCCACCTGTAGGCTGGTTCCAGCAGACATAAACATCAGTGCCCACAAAACAGAGGACGTGAAAATAACGCATATTAAATAATGCTAAAAACTGAGCAACAGATGTGTGAAAACTATATATAGTGGTCCATTTGAATCATGGCTCCCCGGTTTCTGCCTCCAACGTCCTCTCTCTGATTTAAACACCCTGAGCTGTGGCCACACACACTGTGGTTCCTAATCAGCAGCTCTCCAAGCCTCACCCGAGGTCTGAAACAAGCTTTGAAAATGAATACGCCTATTCGGGTGAAGGGCCGCACCTGTATCGATCAAAGTCGGTTTTACTCCGATCTCATTTCAAAAGCCTTGCAATGGGCTTGAACAAGCACAGAGGCCGTTATAAAGGAGCAGCAACGCGAACAAGCAAAGCTGGGCAGAACTGCTCAATTCCAACATTCGAGAACAAACAGCAAACATGCATTACAAAGGCTTAGTTTGGATTTCTGCAGATGGAATCAAAACATACTGAGTTTACAGTTTAAGCCCGTAAGATGTACTTCGGCACCACAAACCAAATGTAGTTACAGATGTCAAGAGTTCTCAGAACAAGCGCTTCTCTTTATAAATGTCTCCTCTGCGTGTATTTTTTCCGTTTCCATATGTCCACTCTCTATCAATATAAGGAAAACACAACTTTCATCAGAAGGATATAAAGAGGCCTCCCACGCACCGCACCCCCGGCCATTCCCTCTCGGGGCCGGGCCGGAGACCTCGCGGTGGCTGTCTCCTGGGGGTCTGCGGGTCCCTGGTCTCTCTAGGGAGGGGTCACGCCCGAGGTGTGGACCGGGCTCCGGCTCGCCCGCCCGGGCCCGCCGCCCGCAGAGCACCGCGTCCCAGACGCGCGCGGGAAACGCCAAGTCCGCCGCCGGCCGCGGGGGGCTGGGCGGGTCTCGCCGGCGGGTCTCGCTCCCAGCCGGGCCGCCCCGCGCCCGCGCCCCCGCCCCCGTCCCCGGGGCCGGCCTCCGCCGAGGCGAGACGCGCGCGCCCAGTCGCACCCCCGCGCGGACCGGGCCCGGGCCGGGGCCGCCCCGAGTCCAGGCGCGGAGAGCGGCGGGTCCCCGGGGCGCACACTCCGCGGCCGGACGCGCGCCCGCTGCCCGCCCTTCACCGCGGGGTCCCTCCGGCGGCTGCCGGCTCGGCCGGGGGCTGCGCCCGGGCTGCGGTCTCCTGCAAGAAAAGTCGAGTCGGGGATCGGCGCCGCAGGAAAGGGAATGCGCTGCCCCGGGGGCGGTGAGTCAGGTCCCCGGAGTTACCCAGCGCGGAGTTTCCGAACTGCACCCCGCGCCGCCGCAGCTCGGCCCCGGGCGTCCGCGCCCCGCACTTGGCGCCCCCGCGCCGTCCCCGCCGGGCCGCAGACACTCACCGAGAAGCCGGCCCAGAAGGGGCAGGAGTGGCGGACGCGGGCCGAGGTGGTGAGCGCCAGCGCCGCGAAGCTGACGGCCACGATGAGGCATCCGAGCGCCATCTGCGTGGCCCCGAGCGCCAGCACGATGCGGGAGCGGCCCGGGCACTCGCGCAGGCGGGACAGGCTGCGGGGCAGCGCGGCGGGGCGCGGCGCGCGGGGACCGCCGGCCCGAGGCATCGCGCCGGGCGCCCGCACGCCTCCCCCGCTCCCGCCGGCCGGGCCCGGCGCGCGCCCCCGCCAGCCGCCGCCGCCGCCGCCGCCAGCCGCCGCCGCCGCCGCCGCCGCCGCCGCCTCTCCTCACCGAGGGTCCGAGGCAAGTTGCGCCGGGCCAGGGGACCGCCTTCCCGCGGGCCGCGGGGGCTGCGGCGGCCGCGCGCCGGGAGCGGGCCGGGCCGGGCGGGGAGCCGGGCGCCCGCTGGCCCTGCCCGTGCCCGCGCCCATGCCGCCGCCGCCGCCGCCGCCGCTCCGCAGGGCCGCCCGCCGCCCGCCGGCCGCGCCGCGCTGCGCCCTCTCCCGCCCGCCCCGCGCGTTCCCCGCCCGAGCGCGGGCGCGAGCTGCCGCGTGCCGGGGGCGAGCCGCCGCCGTGCCCGAGCGCCAGCCCCGCCGCCGCGCGCTGGGCCGGGCGCGGGCGGGGCCGGGCGGGGCCGGGGCGCGGGCTGGGCCGGGGGCCGGGGCGCGGGCGCGGTCCCCGAGGCCGGACCTCGGCGCTCTAGGGCCCCGCGCGGGACGGGAGCGGGGCCCGCAGGCGCGTCAAGGTCGAGGGCTGCAGCCTCGGCGGCCGAACCCTCCGTGGGCGCGAGCCCAGGGCCGAGCCGCAGGGACCCGCCGCCCGCCGAGCCTGGGCCCGGCCGCCGATGGGCGCTCCCCGAGGCGGCGACGGGCCCGGGGGACGCGGCGCGGCCCGGCGGAGAGCGCGGAGGGCGCGGAGGGCGCGGAATCCCAGTGCGCTGCCCCAGGTGTGGCGCGCAGCAGCCTCTACCGAATGCGGAATTCCAAGATCCAAGATGCCGCTTTCCTGCAGTTCCGCAGTTTCCCCAGCCGTCTGCTGAGAACTGAGCCCGGGAGGACTGGGCATTTAAGACATTCCCGGTTCACAAACGGATGTCTCTTACCCACTCACCTTTGGTGTGCAGGGCTTTGATGCAAGTGAAAAGTTTGGGCTTAAAACAAACCGCTCAGGGACGCCCGGGTGGCTCAGTGGTCGAACGTCCGTCTGCCTTTGGCTCAGGAGTTGATGATCCCGGGTCCTGGGATCGAGTTCCACAGTAGGTTTCCTGCGAGGAGCCTGCTTCTCCGTCTATGTCTCTGCCTCTCTCTCTCTTTCTCTCTCTCTCTCTGGAATAAATCAATAAAATCTATTTTTTTAAATCGCACAAAACGAATTTAAATGAACCGTGTCATTAACTACTTATTAAATCTCCCCCAATCCCTTTAGCCAGTATAAGGTTTTCAATTGATTTTCGGCCCCCTTGAGGTACCCAGAAAACTTGGAAGTTTTGGTTGTCAATTTTCTTTGTGGCCTGTTGATGTGACAACTTTCAGACCACCGGTGTTGAAAAACACTGTGTTATTAAGAGACCCACGAGTGCTGGGAAGTCTAAAGGGATCAGGCATAAAAAGGCAAAGTTCATAGTAATAAAGGGCAAGGGTAGGTCATTCCCCCAGGCCATTCTTCCACAGCCGTGCAGTGGAACTGAAGGTGTCCCCTGCTGGTTCCAAGACACTGGAGAGTCTCGCCCCAGAACATCTCAGTTGCTGGTGCTTGAAATTTCGTCGTTAGAGACATTGATTCCTTTGGGGCATGACGAGCCTCTATTAAAATGCAAATTCCTCTTGAAGGGGCCAATAGCTCAAGCCTTTATCAGCCAACCCTGTAGCAGGGATGGGATTTATTTTCCAATTTAAAGGGATGGCCAAGGGATGAACCAGGGGTGGGGAATTCTACAGATTAAGTAACTGACATCAAAATGTTGGCCTGTGGCCAAACTCTGCCTTTCCTCCAGTTTTTATCTATAGCATGGCTGAGCCTCAGGCTGGCATCATTTAGAGTGCTGGAGTACAAATTCTAATTTCCCAGAGACACTCTCTATCTAAAAACTCTCAGGCCCCACTTTTTAGGGGCTTGGAGTAATACCAAAGCAAGATTCTGGACAGGCAGAGGTTAGGTTCTCAAAGGAGTCACCTGCCTTGTTCATTCATTTATCTATTTCCCCCCATCCAACAGTTTTACATTTTAGGAAGGAATCTCTAAGCACCAGGCACTCCTAGGCTCTTAGAGTAAGTACATAAGTGAACAAAACAAATAAGACCCAAGGAGAGAAACAATACAATAAGCAGAACAAATAAGTAAATTACAAAGAGTTTGTTGACATTATGTAGCATTCAAAAAATATGTTAAGCCCCCAATGTGTGCCATACAATGAAGATGTAAGATTAGCAAAAGCAAATAAGCTAGAGAATGTTCAGTCTAGTGGTTAGACTGACAACACACAGATAATTGCTCCAAGGCCAATTGCATCTAGGTTCAATGTGTGGAGAATTCTGCACGGTGCCAAAAAACTGATAATAAAGAGCTTTGGAAAGAGCTTTCTGACCACAATGTAGAAAATGTGTCTAAATGGCCTATCTGTCCCATTAGTAGGGAGCCCCCAAATGTGGGGCAACAATCAGGTAGGAGCTGAAAGAATTCATCTGAAGCAGAATGAAGGAGGTAGATGTTTATTGAATATGGTGCAAGCAGAGGAGAGGCTGTCTGCAAAGAGGTAGGAGGAGGAGGCTGCTTTTAAGGAGGGAAGGCAAGGAGGTTTGGCAATTTATGGAATTGTCCCCTTTTTTTGGTCACTGTGCCTAGTTGTAAGTAGCCTATTGATTGTAAGAGCCTATGAATATTTTGACGTGGGTCTCCTGATGGGCCTGTATGGATTCAAGCCAGGGGGTCCCTGTGTCCTTTTCCACTGTTCAAACCTGTTTATCTAAAAGAAACCTCTACAGAAAATGGATTGAGGGATGCCCACGAGAATGCAGGCCTCACATGTTATTGCTTTCGTCTAGGCAAGAAATGACAGTGTTTTGGATTAAGATAGAGATGGTGGAGATACCCAGAACTGGAAGGATTTGAGATACTTGGGAGGTGTCAGCAATGAATTAAATGTGGACTAAATATAGGGTGATGCCAGTTGGTGTATCCTGGGGAGAGGACCGAATGGTAGAAACCTCCAATGTACTCCCATTTATGTATTAGATGTGCTTCCAAAATATGTGTGAATCAGCAGCCCTGGTGGTGCAGAGGTTTAGCACCGCCTGCAGCCCAGGGCATGATCTAGAGACCCTGGATCGGGTCCCGCATTGGACTCTCTGCATGGAGCCTGCTTGTGTCTCTGCCTCTCTCTCTCTCTCTCTCCCTGCATCTCTATGAATAAATGAATAAAATCTTAAAAAACACAAAACAAAACAAAACAAAAATATATGTGAATCAATTCCTTCTACTTATAAATGGCATGGAAAGAGAGCTCTGGGCAGCAAAGCAGAGGATTTTGGTGTAGGTGGGTCTACTCTCTCTGTAAATTTGAGAGAGGATGAACACTTTCTGTGAAATCTGATTTGGGGGCAGAGGGAAAGACAGATCCAGAAATTACAATCACTTTGCCATTTTAAAAATCATTTCTGTATTATAGAGAACTTTAAAACTCTGTTGTATTGATTGTAATAGCCAACATTCTTTTGATAAACAATTGTAATTTGGAGATGTAAATAAAGTGAATCAGTTTCACAGACATGAATCAGGAAACAAGGGGGGGGGAGCTGATTTAACCCTAGCTCTGATCCTATAATTCATTGACCCTCCTTGCTCCTCAGTGTTTTTCTCTTATAATAAGGCTGCAACAGGGATGCCTGGGTGGTTCATTTGGCTGAGTATCTAACTCTTGATTCAGCTCAGGTTGTGATCAGAGTTGTGGGATCAAACCCCACATCCAGCTCTCTGCTCACTGGGGAGTCTGCTTCGAGGTCTCTCTCCCTCTTCTCATCAATAAGTAGGTAGATCTCTCTTAAAAATTAAAATTAAAAATAAATAAATAAAAAGCTGCTATAATACATGGTCCTAGTATTATGAGAGATTCTTGTAGACCCCTCGGACCAACTTATACCAACTTTTCCTTCTTCCTAGATCAGATGACACTAATGGACTGAGACCATTGTTCTTAAGCATAGCATGACAAGGTGGCTCAGCTTTTACTGAAAGGTAAGCTACATGACTGCTTGCACCAACAGGAAGATGAGAACACAGATGTCTCACAGTGCCCTTGTTCAGATTCTTGCTCTTTTCAACATACCTGTCCATAGATGGATAAAAAAATAAATTTGTCCCTTCGAACTGTAAGGCAGAAGAAAATTGTACTTGGATTTCACAATATCCACCTCTGGAAGAGTAATAATCAACAAAGAACCACCATTTCCAGGGACAGCAGGCTTGCAGATTCTCCTGCTGAAGACAACTAAGAAGTCAGATGACATTTTTTTGTTAAATATCTTCCTAAAATTATTAAAGAGTTATAGAGATAATGGAGAAACACTAGATCAAGTTTCAAGAGGAAAAGAATCCAGAGAGGTATGTGTTCATCAGGTCGGAATCCTCTGCCCTGGGCACTTGCATTTCTGGCTTTGGCAGAAAAATAGAGTTAAAAAGATAAGTTTTGAGTCCAGTCCCTCAAGAATCAGGACCCAGTATACCAGTCCCCTGCTTTGTGATAGAACCCCAAAAGGCTGCACCCAGGGAGTAAGGAATAAGCCAGCCTATCCTCTAATTGCAGATGCTCAGAAATCCCAAACCCTGAGCTGGCAAAAAGCAATAACAAATCACCTCTGAAGAATGATAATCTAATCCCAGCCCTCAAATTATTTCTACAAATGGCATCTTAAAAATTCACTTTAACCTCCTCAATATGACAAAGGGCATTTATGAAAAACCCATGGCTAACAGCATACTCAGTGATGAAAGAATGAAAGCTTTCCCCCAAGATCAGGAATGACATAAGGATGTCTACATTAAACATTCCTCTTTGACACTGAACTAGAAATTCTAGCCAGAGAAATTATATAAGAAAAAGAAATAAAAGGCATCCAAACTGGAAGAGAAGAATTGAAACTATCTCTGTTTACAGAATGATAT